ACCTGTTCAACAACGTCTTGTGTGAGTTCTCCATGTAATGCAGGCATGGTTCGAGGACTCAACTCCGTCATTGGTTCGTAACGACTGTTACTGCTCTGATTCTGTCCATCTGTTCGTGGAGAGACATGCTGCTCCTCATATCGCTCGATCACAGACTGTACTCCTTCCTGACTTGCTGCTTCCTTATCGGATCTCTGAGGCTTATTGTTTCACCTTTTGTACTTTCAACACCAAACACCACTGTCCCACCGGACGTGCCAAATTGTTTCGCGCGGGTTAGTCGCTAACAATTAAAAGGGATCAGACGATTGTGTAAGGGACAAATCTCTTGAGACAAAGTCCCAAAAGGGGTGTTCTTTTATTGGCGATGACTTTACAATTGGAAATTAAAAACAAAATGCCTCCAAGGGGCGCAAGTACACGAGTTACTGAAAAAAGTGTTTAAGTCTAAGATAAGGAAATTAAAATTACATGTTCTCTGTTCTAGAGTTTTTGATTTGGTCTTTTTCTCTATATCTTTTCTCCCTTTTATACTCCATGGATGATCTTTCTTGTGATCAACCGCCTAAAAACTACTTGATCGTTCTGCAACTGCCCACTTTCCTCATAATGGCCAGCTTGTCATGAAAACTGCCTTTTTTAACTGCTGCCACTACTTTTCGTCGTTTAACCGTTTTTGATTGAATTCCTTGAATCGTGGAACGTGATAGGGCTGCTTTAATAACTGCTTTGATAACTGTGCTTCTTGATAACCACAACGCTTTATGTTTGTTAAGACTTTGGGCGACTTGAAGGTTTGGGCGAGAATAGAGTAACAGCTCTGGGTGACTGCATGACACTCCATTCGCTCAGATTCTGGGCGACTTGCAAATTTGGGCGATGACGTTATCGCGTTCTTGGGCCTCCCTATTTGGGCTTTCATCTTGAATTGTTTGGTTGGGCTTCGTTCTTTGGGCTATCTGATTTGGGGATCGTCCAATTGGGCTTCATTCCTTGGGCCATTCGATTTGGGCTGAATTTTTATGTGTCAACAGCTTTTCTTAGCATTGATGAAACATATTTACATTTTTGTAGTGGATTTGGTGTTATGTATGAGCAAATATGTTTGTCTTTTTTTACTTTCCTTTTTTTGTTTGTTTGTTTGTTTGTGGGGATAAAGGGATTTACAAGAGCAAGTATTGGCGTGTACACTTTGATTGTTGAGTTTCTGGGTAGCACATAATTAGGTGAATTTATAAAGAATATTCAGTGGGTTAGGAAATTAGAAAGTCGAGTTTTCTTTTGTTTTCTTAAAATTTGGGGTTGTTAATATTTTGTTGAGTTTATTTGTTTTTTAATATTGTGGAACGTTCATTTTGATTCGGATTTATTTTATTCATAATTTCTTGAATGAAATTTTCTGCAATTTGCTATATGAGTATTGACAATTCAAAAGGGGTTAAAAAAAAATTCATTAAACTTCGTAAATACTTTTTCTAAATTCTACACATTCCGCACTAATAATAACATAATAAATACAAAACTCGTGCAACGCACGAGACAAAGAGTAATAGTATATAAATTATCATTACCTCGTGGGAGTTGACAAGCACAAGAGTTTAGTTCTAACTTTTCATATGAATCGGTGCAAATTTTGACTATAGAAATTTAAATTTAATCATTTCTTCAAGATTAGGTTTGATTTAAAACCTCGTGAATAAGTCTATGCAAATTTAGAGATGTCAATTGGTCCGAGCCGGCTTGCGGCTCTCTGCAGCTCGAGCTTGAGCTGAGCGGGGGGTCCCGTCCAATGAGCCGAGCGGCTTGTCCAAAAATGTGGGAAAAAATAAAATTTTATCAATAAAATTTGAAAAAGTTGCAAAAAAAAAAAATAATAATAATAAAAAAATAAATTCACGAGCTCGCGAACCGCTCGTGGCTGGTGAGTACATGAGCTCGTGGGCCGAGCTGAGCTCACCCACGAGCAATGAGCCGAGTCCGAGCTTGGCTCGTGAAAAACGAGCTACAAGTTCGAATCGGCTCGGCTCGACCCACTGCCATCTTATGCAAATTCAAACCAATTGTTTCGATTTTGTGATTTTTTTTATTCTCCTGTTGCATAGATTGAGATGGAAAAAAGATAAGATGACATGATGCCCAATGTCTCCATTTGTACTGAAGGGTAGGGGCCCCTATTTATGCCTTTTTTTCCAAGCCAAACAGCCACCTTAAAACTCCAATAGCCACTCCAACGCTATCTTGACCTTTTCCAAAACGAATTTTCAATCAAATCAAGCAGTTCTATAAGGGTCAGATACCCCTAGTTATTATGTCCCCCCATCAAGTACTTAATCCCTTGAGAGATGCGAAAGGGCTGCATCTTCCAACAGTGACAGCAATTTAGGTATACAAAACATTAATTTTCTCGAAACTTTTACATCTCTCTTGAATGTCTTTGCTAGCCCGAGTAAACATTCGCATTCAAGTATCTGCTCTACATCAATCATGCTATTTATATACTTTGTTATATCATTCTTTATATCAGTCATGTGGTGATATCAGACAATTTTAAAAAAAACACGCTCTCTTGCTAACAATTTTTTTGAAAACAATGAAGTGTCAAAAATAATGTCTTATTTTGAGTGTATATTTAGCATTGTTCATCCTACATTCATTCATCAAAGCATCAATATTAAATCATATCTGGTCGAACATAATAACATCTTAAGCCCTATATGGTGTAAATTTAAATAAAATTTATAGAAGATTTTGATATTAAAAACAAAATCAAATGTGTAATGTTGACCTTGATTTCTACACGAATGACGCGGCCAATAAATCTCGGCTCTACTCACGTTCACGTAACTAAACTTCTTCACACTTGGACAAACCATTAGCAATACATTGCCTTCTCCGATGATGGGGAAGGGGGCTACGTACACTCCGATAGTCAACTTATATAATATATTTTGAGTGCGGGATGTGCCGAAAACATGAGCCACAAGAGTGTTCGAGCATTGAAGGTTTTTATAGGGTAAAACCGAGATAACAATGTTATAGTTAGTGTATAAAATTGTATTACTTTCAAATGACACTAAATGCGAGTTTTTATAGTAAAAGAAGAGAGTTATCATTGTTGGATGAAAAGACACGTACCCTCATCATGATGATCGATGCGTCTTGTTCTAGGTGTCACTCCGTTAATCATGGGTTGGGTGGCATTTAATGTTCTTGAAAAGTAGTCACCCCATAGCTTAGACCTAACATTTAAAAAGTAAACTGACAAGCTAATCGTTTAGGTATCTATTGCAAAGATGTCACATCAATCAATTATAAAGAAAAATTATACAAAAGATCTCTTGAAAAAGGTGAGATGAGAAACGTTTTCTATCAACAAAAAAACTAATTGCCTTTGATCAACTTTACAGTAGGTTATAACATCTCGCCTAGGTGATAGAAGGTTGGCCTCTCATTGGCACCTCGACTTCGACTCCTTATATATGACCTCCATAGAAGAGGTGTAATAAAAGTCCCCCATGTTCATGTATGAATATTCATATGATACATGGACTTTTTGGGTTGAGCAGATTATGAGGTTGTGGGATGGTGTTAAAGTAATGTTTTGGCTTGAAGCGTTTTACCTTCCTTCGCAAAGTGGTTGCTTATTTAGTTTTACAATATGTTGACCTCTATTTCTGTACGTGGCCTACAGATGTCTATGTATCTAAGCTTCTGCATACTTGGACAAATTGTTAAAAATACGGAGCCTTTTTTGATTGTGGGAGAGACAATCGCGTACACTCCAACGATCAAGTCGGTCAACTTGTATAGGCACCAGAGATTTTTATAGAGTAAAAACGAGATAGCAATGTTATAGTTGAGTGCATAAAATTACATTACCTTCAGATGACACTAAATTTGAGTTTTATAATAGAAAAAAGAAATTGTCACCATTGGATGAAAATACACGCGGTCTTATCCTTATGGCGGGGCTTCTTCTCCTAGGTGTCATTTCGTCAATCATAAGTTGGGTGACATTTGATACTTTGGAAAAGTAGCACCCTAAAGCCTAGGTTTGGCCTCTGAAAAATATATTGACAAATTGATCGTTTAAGTGTCTGCTGTAAACATGTCACATCAATCAATCATAAAAAAAATCTTTGTACAAAAGATCTTTTGAAAGAGGCGGATGGAAAACATTTTCTATCAACAAAGAGACTAATTGTCTCTGATCACCTCTGCATCACACTGTAGAACCTCACCTAAGCTATGAAGGTTGGCCTCTATATAGCACCTCAATGAAAGTGATGCATCACTTCGATTACCTTTTGTATTACCTTAGTTCAACAAGATAGGACAAATGGTATGAAGTGCAGGCCTATTGAAGGTTGCTAGCCGACTTTCACATGGTATAATATGAAGCCTCAATAAAAGAGGAGTAACGTTTGATTTAAAAATTATGGATCTCATAAAACGTGTTGATAAAATTAATTGTTAAATTTAACTTGAAATTTTTATCAACTTTTAATTTACACCAAAGATCGACTAATCTTTTTCAAGATGAAGTCAAGCAAAAACTTTATGATGAAGCATCTTATCAATAATTTAGAATTTATTTGAAAGAACTTCTAGTCATGCTTCGTCTTGTAGAAGAGCTTCTCAAAGAAGCTACCATAAACTTGGTTCGTCTAAAAACTATTCTAATAAAATTAAACTACTTCCAAAAATTTATTCAAATATGTTTAAACATTACTTCTTACATCATAAGTAGTTTTGACTTTTTTTTAAAACCATGACAAACAGGCCTTTATTGACAAAGAAGTGAATCTATTAAATCCCTCTTTATGGTACATGCTGTTGTAGTATATTCAACAAATTTCGTTGTGGGACATTGATATGGTGCTCTAAAGTAAAAAACTTTATAAAAAGCACTGAGCAATTTCTAATGGCCGAGTGTGAATAGCTGCTAATATGACTACAAAATAGTGTTGTGATTGACCATTCTATTATGACAGAGGCACTATGCAAAACAAGAATGACAGTTTCTGCTGGAATTCAAAACCACAAAGAATGAAAAAGTGCACATAGTAATGCATTATATGAGGCCCCATCTAAACCCACTCTGTCACTCAAACAAATCCCACCACAAGCAATAATTTCCTTACGACTTGTGTTCCGTTGGGTAATCACCAAGTTTCTCCATCTGCCAGCTTTCTTGTGGGGCGACATGGTCATGGTAAGAAGTATATTGCTGAAAAGTAAAAGATAAAGATCAGTTTTTCTGTACAGTGTACCTCCTTTCAAACAATATAACTGAAGAAATATGGAGATTGTGAGCGTGCCTTGGAGCTTTCCCTGTCTAAATCATAGTGGTATAGAGAGGGTTATTGAGTACACTTCTCTTATAAAAAATATCCAATCCCAAAGGGAACGAGATATTTGGATATTTTTTGTCTTTCATCCTATTTATCATTATCACTATTATAATATTACCGGGTTAATGACTTAATGTTCTGATCTCAAGGCTGTATTGTTAAAGTTAGAGTAGGGTAGTACAGTCTACTTTATGAACTTTCTTGTATGTGAGCTACTTTCAGTCCACGATATAGTAGAATGGAGTTAAGGTAAGACTTAATTTCCATCACATTTTACATTCAGTTCTAATTTTCCTTCCAATCCAAACATAGGATATGATTTTCACTTCTACTTTTCACCTTGTCATTTCCTTCTCGTCTAACTTTCCACACTACCAACACACCTCTAATTCGACCGTAGCTAAATTTTTAACTTTGATGTCCTGCATTTTCAATCTGAACTTATTTGATATCATTAAATTAGAAAGTGAAAAGTAGTTTCTATTACTCTTCAAGAAACACTTGGTTGACCATCAAGAAAGCTCATGTAATATAAATGCAAAAATTTATATCAGGTGCAATTCAATGCATACAATCCGTTAAATTGACATGACCACTACTTGTTACTTGTACACCAAGCCTGGGAAGCAATGAGCGAAGATTTTAATAAATTGACAAGAAATCAAACAAAGGCAGGAGAGAACTTAGTACCTCCATTTTTGTTAAAAGCTCATTTGCCGAAGGCGCTGAAAGAACTATGTCCCTAGCACCCGGCTTGATGAAACCTTCTTCAACACCTTTATCAAATAACGTGAGCAAAGAGTTATAGTACCCATCAACATTGAGCAAACCAACCTGTGCAGAGAGTTACTCAAATCATTAGAAAATAATCCAATTCACCTAAACCATCAGGACACATGTAGATACATAACCGGTTTTTTATGAATTCCTAGTTGTGCCCATGTTATCATTTCTAACAACTCTTCCATTGTTCCATATCCTCCTAAGAAATTCAGGACAAGGAAATGCAGATCTTTAAGTTAATGGAGAACCAATAACTCTTGAGAATAAAATTGTTACCATTCCATGTACTTACCTGGAAGAGCAATAAAGGCCTCTGACTCCCTAGCCATTTCAGCTTTACGCTCATGCATGTCGGAAACAATTTTTACAGTTCCAATGGTTTCCCCTGATATCTGTCAATATCACTCATCAATGATACCTTATTTGAATGAAACTACTTTCATTGCAGGCTATACATAAACAGTTCCACAATGAGAACTAGTATCAAATGGAGTCAACAATGTGCATAGCAATAAAAGTTCAATTCAATTTCCATTGTAGCTTCTGCTCATTGCAGATTTTTAGTAATAGTTGACGCGCATCGAGAAGCAAAGCCGCGATAATAGAGAGCAACTGACTCTGATGCAAAGCGAAAATTTCAAACAAATTTCTAAAGAACAACATCATTACCTGTCCTCTAGTCTCAAAAAACATTGATTATTAACTAATCATACGTTGCAGCTCAAAATATTATTTGATCAATGGGATAAGGTTCCAAAATTTTGTCGAAATACCTCAATAGGAACAAGAGCTTTTGGAATGACTCTGCAATTATGAAGCAATAAACCAGCTAAGTGCTATGGAAATAAAGACAAACAGAGTGCCTAAACGGGAAAAAGAAAAGTGAAAGTTCAATGAACAACATGAAACAACTACGTCTGTTCCATGACTAACTGTGTTTTAAACCCGAATAAATGTTACATACCCAAGAACATCGCAGCCACCATCATAGACTCTCTGAGAAATTAACCCCATCAACCCAACACTTCCTCCCCCATACACCAAGTCTATCTTCCTATTAACCTGTCATCAACATCCACGAACCATAAAGTCATTAGCTTATTAACCAAATCAATCCCACTATCCAAGTAGAACCTTGACAAGAACAAAATCATGAGATGGTAAAGTTAAGCCCTAATCTCAATAGTAAACTTAGAATAATGATTAGACTCTCCAAAGTCCAACGAGTTATCAAAAAATCGATCATACCATGATAAAAAAACACAAACAAAACATACAAAGGGATTCTGTGAACATGTACAATATTCAACAACATAGAAAAGCTAAAAACCATTTGAAACAAAGTCAAAAACACGAGAATCCCATAAGCAAATACAGAAGTCAATGTTTTGACATTAAAACACAGAACAATAAAACATCCATGTCAACTGCTGTTAAATTAAGATCAAAATTCAATCAAGGATTGACTCATAGGAACCCACCAATTCATTGCCCAACTCAATAGCAGCATCACTGAAGACTTTCCTGTGACCCGGGTGGCTTCCACAGAATACACAGATCCTCTTGAACTTTCTATCGCTTCTTGTATTGTTCTCCATTCAATCTCCACTTATATAAAATTAATAAAAAATAAAAACTACTTTAGTATATTCAAAGTTCAGTTCTTGATACCATATATGTATATTAACGCACATAAGACAATATCAAAAGGAAAGATGAAATGGGTAAGCGAAGTGAGATAAAAGACATTTCTGGGTATTGCTTGAATTAATGAATTAGGCAGTTGAGGCCAAAGATTATTAATAAATTTTCAGAAGTGCCTGCGCTTATGTATATGTATTTTTGTGCACTCGCCAATGATTAAAAAAACATACGCAGCCCACATACTCTTCTCTCTGTCGGCTTTTAAATTTTTGATTAAGAGATTAATCAAAATTTTAAGCAGCCCACATACTGATATATAAAGATTTCACAGAGCAACATTAGAATTTGTTATTAAGAGTAAATTTCCACTTTCCAGCTCCAATAATGTCAAAATAGGATGCCAATCCTTAAAAATCTGAATTGAAATTGACCTAAACGAGTTGAGTCCACTAAATTTTCATCTTTTGCCTCCAAGGTTCCATTTGATAGATTTCTACTTTTACTTCTACTTTTTATTGAAGAGTTTCATTAAATAAATATATATGATCAATCTATTTGAAAAATGTTTTTAGTAACCAAAAAGTTATTCTAACATTATTTAAACAAAATTTTAAGTTAAGAAACAACTTTTGACTTTTTAAAACTCTACCAAATGGATCTTTAGCGATGTCAAAACGTGATCATCCCATTAAAAAAACACAACACAAAGCAACACAAACTAGTTCTCATGGTTAGCTAGGTCATCGCAGATAGGTCGTGCATGACCAAGAAAATCTAGTCTTGGGGAACCATGAGACAAATCTTCATGGACTAAACAACTCGGCCTACCTAGCTATGACAATCGATTCTCAAACCAATATACTGAAAAAGAAGTTTATAAAGGTAAAACTTAAAAAATGATTGGTCAGACCATTACACAACATTTATAAGTCAACTGTCCAATGCAATCCACTCCGCAGTCCGTCCCTGGCCACTGAGATATTTTCACATGAGTAATTCAAACCCGTCTATTTTTTACAATCCTCGCATCATTCTTGCTGTCTTACACTAGTTGCTTTTTTATCAAGAGGAAATTTCATTGAGTATCAAAAATTGGGTTTGCTTTATCAAAATTGTCACCTTTTAAATTTGCTATCAAAAATATCAATTTATAACATTTTTGCCCCTCTGAAATATTAAAATACCAAACTTGTGTTATGTGTATTGTGTCAGAATCTCAAATGACGGCAGACGAGAGCAAAATGCAAACCTAATTTCTCCAATTTTGACTTCTCCATTTCCCTCTCGTCTCTGCCTTTCACATTTGGACGCCCGTCGCTCTGTCTCAGTCGCTGACTCTCTTATTGTCTGGCCAAATCGCCGTCATCAATCGTCGGGGAGATCAGTCGTCGTTGCTGTGTCGAGTTACCGGCTTTGAAGATTTTGGAAATCTGCGTTTCAGTTATTTCTTGCCGCCGACGATCACCCACAGCCTCTCCGGTCTCTGGCACTGGCCCACTGCACCATGTTTGTGACAACAGACTCCGTGAGTCCGTGACTCGTGAGCCTCCTGCCTCTCTCTCTCTCTCTCTCTCTCTATTTTCTGCAAAATTGGTTCAGTTCGTGAGCTCCTTCCTCGCATGTGAAGTTCTTTATTCTCTTTTAGTTTCGTGCTTCCTATGGTATTGTCATTATTAATTGTTAATACTGTCACTTCCTTTCTGTATTATTATCTTGTTTAAGTGGATGCTTCTGTAGTTGTTAGGAGAGTGCTTCTTTTGGAGATAAGTGCGTTTCTGTACAAACTTTGTGCTAATATTAGTATAGTGTTTATTCAGCTCAGCCTGCTTGTAACATTTTAGCATTCTCATTGTGATTTTACTTGGATATGGCTTTGCTGTTATTGAGAAAAAATGAAGATGAATTTGTTTATATTAATGAGTCTTGGTTTGACAGAAATTGTTTTATTCAATGACATACATAGGTAATATACAATCAAAACACTAACACAGTTTTGAGAATAATCATTTGTGCAATTTGAATGATCGAATAGAACTCCATGTAGACAGTTTCAGTCGTACTACCTTAACTTCACTGCTCTACTACATCTTGGATGAGATATATCGTTGAATTTGTACTGAGAATCTTAGGAAGTTGTATAATCTGCATACACATCAAATCAACGAGGTATACGAATTGGGAAGGAACATGTAGTACCAGAATTCGCAGCAAGCAGTTTTTGCTTGCTTCGTGAGCCTATACTTGGTGAACTCCCTGGGCTGAGAAGAAAGCTTAGAATTCGATTTAGGAAATTGAACAATTAGGGATTGTGGTTTTGTGTAGTGTAGATTTTGGAAGTATAATTATCTTGGTGGTATTGAGTAATGCAGTCATCCTCTATGGAATTATAAAGTAATTTTAAATTTAAACTTGTCAAGTTTTGGTCAATTTTGTCTCGAAGTTGTCATGTTCCTTTTTAATTTGGTCACTGGATGTCAAACAATTTGTATGCTAAGGAGACAAGTCATGAGTAGAGAACTTGTTATGTATCCTCTTTTTGAAGGGTTAAGGCAATGTTTTTCATTTACTGGGTTGTTATGCTATTCCATATCAACTTATATTGCTTTTGTTGAATTTGAAAGGAGAATACTTAATATGCTACCATGAAAAGATTCCCACCACTTCAAAGAGTTGATGGAAGAAATTGTTTATTTATTGATTTATTTATTAATCATCAACTCATTCTCAGAGTGTTTTTAGGCTCCTCCAAAGGAGGATGATGTGGGTTAGGATCCCTGACCATAATACATAAATGGGAGGAGGGGCAGAGGCCTGATCTCCAACAAAGCAGCAAAAATACATAAGAATTAGGGCAAGAAAATATCAATTATTTATTCATTCAAAAGTTGTCCTTATTACAATGTAAAAGATTCGTTTATATAGGTTTCAAAGATTCTATTCTAAGAAAGAAATATCTAATAAAAGCTAGTAAATCAGCCATAATAATGTTTCGTAAAATATATTTTAAAACTAAAAACTAAATATAATAAAATCTCTTTTAATGTTGCATCACTTATGAAATAACATATTAGCTATTAAAAGATCACCAAACAATCAGCATAGCACAAGAAAACAAAGGATGGGTAGCTAAATTTACTGTCATAAGGCACCTACTAAAAGTCTAAAACCCATTGAAAAATATTAAATATTTCATGTCCTACAATATGATTCTTTATGTAGGCAACTAATCACGAAACATTTGAAACCTAAATTGCACTACTATTTTCTAGTAAACAATTAAGACGTTTTTATGTTTTTTTTAACTGATGTAAACCACTAGAACGAAGTAAGAACTGCTACTGTTTCCAATAGGATTCTTGTATTTTGTGCTATTCTAAGGTTGGTTGAAAGTGATTATAGAGTTTGGATGGGTATTGAAAGGTTACGGCGTGTATGGATTGGATGGAAAAGGTAAGGTTGGGTGTTTGGATTTGAGAAGGCATAGGTCAAATGAGAACGAATTTCTCTAATACAAAATTGACGCAGGAGCATATAATTTGTTAATAAACAAGAGAAATAACAAAAAGAAAGGTGGGCCAAAGAAGAGAAATTTTGAGGACAAGAAAATCAATCTTTATTAATTACAATGAATAAGCCCCTCTATTTATGGAGTAAATAACCTAAGAAGAAGTTAAGAAGAAAACAAACTTCTAATAAACTATAATTATATCAAAATAAATCTAATCTAATCTAATTGAAATTAAACTCTATTTTAAACTTCTATTTAACCTATAACTCCTTCTTTATTCCTATCTTGATCTCCATCAATATGGTACCTAAAAATACAATGAACAAACGTTCAGCTTATTTTTCTTTCTTAGCCTTTTCCAACATTTTATGGTCAATCTTATCAAACATGCCACTAAAGTTCACCAATGTCACAACCGAAATCTTGAATAAATTTTAAAAGGCCTTCGGATAAGGAAGTGAATAGCAACACTATCAACAAAACCAACTCCCGAGCAGAGAGTCTACTGCAAGTCTGTGATCATTCACACCATTGTAGTGACAAATTTAACACAATGAGTTTGACACGAACAATCAAATTCAACAAAAACATTATCCACACAATAAGATGAAACTAAACGGGAAAAAAAAGGATTATTCTAGAAAAGTAGCAAATAAACTATATGCAAGTGTGCACACAAAATCAGTAATTAAGTTATTGTGTGCATGCTCATGCGTGTACATTTAAATAAGGCAAGGGATGTACTTTTTTTTTCTTTTAAAAAGGAGAAAAAAGGAAATTAAAAAACAAAGCTGACCTGCTGCATTGCTGGCAAAACCTTTGCTCAAGGCCTGCAACAATGACCTTTGGGGACTTGGAGTGCGTACCACACACTTTGTGCCTTGAATAGTAAGCCTTAGCACCGCTCAGATCTGTCTCACACCCTTCCACTTGGCACCTTGGTGGCTGGCCACCTTGCACCACGCCGCTTCTCCTCTTCTTGGCAGGTGATGGGGGAGGTAGTCCGGCGGCCTTGGGCAGCAGTGAAGGCGGCCCACCACCAAATTTGTCCTGCACTCCAACACCTACATCTTCAAAGTAGATTTTCTTGCCAAACTTGAAGCCATTGAGTGATTCTGACCCACCAAAAGTAGATGAAGAAGAAGAAGCAGAGGCTGAACCAAGTTCCATTCTTGTTGTCTGGAACCCGTTCATCAGTGCCTACTGAGATAGTCTAATGAATACCACGTGCATTAATACCATGTTTCATAAAGTGTATCTTGATGAAACTGTCGTATTTCTTTTTGCATTTCTTTTCATGTTTTGATAAGTGATGGTGACTAGGTCTTGTTCACTCATAAATACACTGCATTTACATATGGCAGTGTGCTCGTTACACCTCGTCTATAGAAGTAGTTGAGGAAAGGAGAAAGATTAAGTGGGGTGTCCTCAATATAGAGTTTCATGGATTTTAAAACTCCATATAAATTGAAGTTTCCTCAATTTAGAGTAAAATATTATTCATTAAAATGTGGGTGTCCTCAATCTAGATATTTAGAAATACTTATAAATTTAGGTGTCCTCGATTACTAGTTGATTTAAAAGGATTTCGTTAATTAGATAGAATATGATGGATTTTGAAAGATTTCAAGCCATAAATATAAATACAAAATTGTGGAACAATTTTATCCCAATCGAGGACATACAATTCATTACCTCTGTTTTTGAATCAGAATTTGTGCAAACCGACATAACTTTTGAATTTCAGAAGTTTTGAGTGTTTACAGTTCGAAATGTGAGTTGATTAATTTACATTTTGTGCTTCCTAATATTAGATATGTTTTGCTTACTATAGTTTTGTCGTCAATTGCTATTGTCTTAGTCAGAGTTGATGTTTTGGCTTAGCATATTTGCACGTTGTTGTCTTCAATTGATATTGTCTTGAATTGCTATTGTCTAAGTCAGAGCTGGTGTTTTGTAGTCTGGATATGGCCGTTGAGGTGTACTTATCGTATTTGCACGTCGAGAACTATATCATGCACTACTTCGAAAATGTACACAATATTTTACACTATCACTCTCCATGCACTGACATGAAGTGTTGAATGACTTACCAACGAAGTGTCGTTCCCGACAGTTCGCAACAGAAATTCTCGACAGATGGAACAGTCGACAGATGAACTGTCGTTCCCGACAGTTAGGCTCAGTAATTCTCGACAGATGAGCCTCTCCATCGATGAACTGTCGGGAACGAGAGTTCATTTCTTCCCTAGTTATGCAAGTTGAATTTTGGTTCCGACAATACACGTAAGTTTCGCATTAAAAATACTGTTATGCTATGATGTCACGATTTTGTTCATTGATCCGTCGTTGCAACATCGTACGTGTGCTTCGCATTACTATTACTCAAACGTATGATCTCACGATTTGTAAGTGGTGCCAACATTGCATGTGTGCTTTTGCATTAACATAATTGCAATGCTATGATCCGGACATTTGTTGATTGATTAGTCAATGCACCTTGTTCGTTGAAATGTGGTTCTATTATTTCCGTCCCGACGTGTCGTGTGTCTTCAAATACTACCATCTGACGTATTAAATTTATGTTCAACTGCAGGAAGGTGCATGGATTTTGAATATCTGGTTCCAAAGAATGCGCGGCTGAGGACCCACATCTCACAGCGAAGCAATCTACGGTACGTGAAGACAGTCTTGGAGCATTTCGATGAGCGGCAGCGTACGGACTTCCGTAACTCATGCCTAGGGTTCTTATCCGAGGTTCGAGATCTCCAATTCTCAGCCCAACTAATCCAGCAGCTCGTTTTCCACTGCATACGAACTAAAAAGGCCAGCGAAATATGGTTTAAAGTGTAAGGCCACTTAGCCAAGTTTGGCCTGCAAGAGTATGCTCTCGTCACGAGTTTAATGTGTGGTCCTCTTCTAGATGACGCCGCGATGGACCGAGTTCTACAAAAGAAGAGGTTGAAGGATAAATACTTCAAATCAACGGAGAGGATTTCGTGTGGCGAACTTGAGAAGGCATTTCTCCGGTCGTCGACGCCCCGAGCAGATCGGTACAAGCTCGATTTTGCTCTAATCATCGAAGGAGTGTTCAATGCTCCGGATAACCATGCCGGTATTGAACTTCCGACGCCGTCGATCATGGACGATCTGGACATGTTCTATTCTTTCCCTTGGGGTAGAGTATCGTACATTCGTCTAATAAGGGGCTTCCGACGCAGACTGGGACGAAAATTTGTAGATGCCACAAATAAGAAGGAGAAGGCGATTACTTGTACAGTTCACGACTTCCCCATTGCCATGCAGGTACTACACACAAATTTTATACAACGTATTCATTATTTCATCAGAAATATATTGTCATTGGTTCCTTTAATGTTCAACTCACAGTTACTATCTGTTGTAACAGATCTGGGCATTCGAGGTAATACCAGAAATTGGGGATAGGTTTGCTCGGCGATTGGGTCATCAATCCCCATGGCTTTTGAGTTGGACATGTACCAAACAGCCGCAACACCAGACGTATGATGCATTTTTCAAGAATATTAAGGTATTGGATTGCGTTTCATGCATGCGATCTGCATGTGTCGTTACTCGTTACATTTTCGGTGACATTAATTTATTTTAAGTTGTAGCTACACGTGTCCACGACGCTTCGTCCCACCAAAGCCGAGATTGGACAACCATGTATCTCTACCCTCCTACCGTTTGAAGATCGTACTGTACCTGTGTTGGACGAGGTTGCAAGGGACATTATCCCTGCACTGCTTCACCCAGATCCTTTGCCCAGTGGGGGGAATGTTGGAAACTCAAGGGGGGAGTGCACAATGGTTTCCAGTGGAGGAGGCTCTGAGGACGATGATGAGTCGGGGGACAGTGAGGACGAGGGAGCCCGTGAGGAGACTGAAGGTGATAAGAGTGGAGACAACAATGGAGAGGCCTCGGACGAGGGGGACAGTGGGGACAGTGAGGATGACCACACTCGTACACCGCAAACTGGGACATATTCCTCTCCACCCATGCACAGACGTACTTCTCCCATTCATGCACCCTCCACATCTCATGTACGACAAGGTCAAACCTCTGGTGCGAGCCTCACGAAAGACGAGGTGGAGGAACTATTGCTCGACCAAAGAACGCTCATCGAAATTCGCCTGCGCACAGTGAAGCTTGAGATCATGCAGTACGTGACCGATGAATTTGTGAAGGTCAGGGACTTCATTTCTACCCTCGTCCTCCCAGCTCCCTCTAAAAGTACTCCACCTATGGCTCAGGCTGCAAAGGAGCCCACAGTCTTAGCTACTTCAGTCCATGGTATGTGTACTGCATTTAAATTGTTATCTATTATATGTTACTTATGTTTGTTGACATTGAGTACACATGGGATTTGTGACTTAGACGGAAATGGAGGCGACACCGACCCTGTCCTGGAATGTACGGAACTGCAAGGTATGTGCATCAATTACTATGGATACATTTTCATGTCTTCTTTACTATTTGATACTAGAAAATACGTAACCCCCTTACATTTTTACAATTGTTGTTTTGTAGTGCATGGAAGAGGCTTCTCCCCGTTGTCGATCGATCATGACGAAGATATGGATAAGGAAATGCAAGAGCGGAACGATACGTGTCTTAAGTACCGCATAATATTTGATTTCGTACATAGATCTCACCTCATTCGAAAGTGTGTATATTGTAAACCCTGAACGACACGCGATTTCTAATATTGGGTATGTTGGTACTCATGCGTAGGTGGAGCCGGCATGGAATCCGAACCAGCACTGAACGGTGACGACAGCGACGTAGCTTTCGTGGTTCGGGGAAACGTGAGGACGATGGTGTTGCGTCCCCTAGTGGCGTAGCGGAGGCGGACGGTACGTACACTACGGTGGATTACTTCTATTTCACTGCTTAGAGTAACGCGTAATATTTGGATCATTTACTTACGTATGACCTCATGCACTAGTATGTATTCTCGACTGTTTGAAGTATATAGTGTTACTAATATTTCGTCGCATGTTAATTTCATACTAGGTGGATGTGGCATGGATTCCGAACCAAAAAAGAACAGTCAGGATGACGAAGTATCTTCCGGTGGTTCGGGGAACCTCTTGGACAAAGGTGTTGCGTCCGCTAGTGGCGTAGCGGAGGTGGATGGTAAGTACATTGCGGTGGAGAACTCATCATGTCACCCTAACCCAAATTCGTGATGCAAATGGATAAAGTGCTAATTAAAGTGGAATTGTTTTGTAGGCGGTGCGACAAACATGTCGGGGGAGGCCAGCATACCCGTGCAATGCAATGACCCACCCACCACAAAGAGGCGACGATCGACACGCATCCGACGTCCTGCTGTATCTACAAAGACTCCGTACACCAGGGGGAGGGCGAAGAGAGTGAAGAAATGAGGTATTTTTGGCGTAATTTGACATGATTTCAAGTTTGTGTGGAGTTCGTCTTTGCATAGTCGTACGTTTATGTTATTCTAAAGGAGCATGTCGAATAGTATACGAATATTCTCCGTACTGTTCATATCACATGCAATTGAAACATAATATTGTCGGATTTTATCACGTTCAGTCGAATATCTGTAAAGGAGCATTTTGAAGGGGTTTGGGTCCATTTTTGCAATTAAATGGGTTGGGTTCGGTTATATTTACCCCATTTTCTGTCCGGTTAGGTTGGGTTATAGGTTATCTCTTTAACCCAACCCGAAGCCGACCAACTCAACCCGTATACAAAAGTTAATTTTAAAAATGTGTAGAAATTATAAAACGAGTATAAGGTCCCTCCCTTTTCCCTGACCCTTCCCTTTCCCATTTCCCATTTCTCCCTCAGAGAAAACCTAGTCTCCTCCAATCCATCACGAAGCCGATAGTCGCCCTTTATATTGTTGATTCTAACCCTGAGTATTTATCACTCTTTCGGTGTTTTGATATTTGATATTGTGGGGAGAAAATGGTGAAAATCTCAGCTTTGTGCGAACGAAGGTGAGAAATTTTGTTCCACCTCTATCGCTGTCAGTATCCATCTTCAATCCCCCTCCATCCTATGCTACCATGTAGGTGAGTATTTTTCTTTAACCTAGATTCACTTCCTTTATCCTTAATATCTGATATAGTTGAAGTTTTTAATAATTGATTATGCTTTTTTTCTTTAGTATGTTTGGGCTTTTATTGGTAATCGTAGTT